ACAAAATTATTAGATTATTTTGTTTTAAAGTGTTAGTAATTATTAAGTTAACTTTGAAATAACGAGAATTTTTGACGAATGTCATAATATTCGATTGTTTTTTATATTTTAAAAGAGATATGTCATGCTGGAACGCAAAGTTTGTACATTCGTTTTTTATTTTTAATTTTAAAAATGCAAAACTTTATTTAATATTTATCAGAAATTTGTAGAACTATAGACCTGTAGAATTATAAAAAGTATGAAAAGAAAAAGTACTGAAATTATTATGCTTTTAAAAATTAATAAAACGTCGTGCCAACTTTATGTAATTTTTTGTTATAGACTAAAATACAAATTAATTTTAACATTACATATATACATTTATCAATATACCATTTATATAAAAGGAACATAACATATAACATACAACATACAACATTTTATTTTAATATCATTATTTTGTTAAAGAAGAAATTTCTTTTTTTGTAAAAATGTTATGTATTTATCTGTTATGTATCTAAATATAAATTATTGATAAATATATATACTATGTTAAAGTTAATCAGTACTTTAGTCTACAACAAAAAACAATTACATAGTATGTAATTTTTAAGTTAAGCATATTTTTTATCCATTGTGAGTGCAGCACAGACATGTGATTTTATCAGCATCGGAAAATAGATATAACTAAGAAATTACAAATTCAAAAATGTATGTAATAGCAGTAGTGTACAAAGGACTTTGATGGTCTCACGAAAAATACTAGAAGAACCGCTCTCAAGTTTCTATCTGACCGTTGTGTGGTGCCAGCTGGTGTACTAAACTGTTGTATTGAAGCAAAATCAATAGAAATCTGACGGCAACACAATGTTCAACTTTATCAACTAAAGAATTACAGAAAATCATGAATAATGTTTCAAGTATACATAAAATTCATGATTAATCTCGAAATAATATCAATTTTGTTTGCTATTATTCTAAATAATTATATTTTAAATAATTATTTCAAAATATTAATATTGTAATATTAATATTATTATTATAATATTTTAGAATACTCATATTATAATAGAATGCTAATTCTAAGTAATATTGTTCTAAGTAATTATTATTTATAACGTGATTTCAACTTAAATTTCATTATTTAATTTGTCAAATTGTTTAAATAAGAAATTGCATAACAAATAAATAAATAAGAAAATAAAATTGAATATAGAAAGCGCCTTTGGCATTTTGGTAATTAATGCGTAGATGCGTAGAAAAAATCATGACCTGGAAACTAATATGACTTGCGAGTTCAATTTATCGAGGTCAAACGCTATCATGCATGATGTATATCATGACTAATCATGACCTAATTTTTCGCTATTGCTTATTTTGTTGTATTATCATGAATGATATCTAATGTACCGATGTTTGATTTAATTTCAAAAATTCAGAAATTAAAAAAAAGACCAAATAAATTTATTATATATTTAATATATTATATATTATATATTTTAAGATTTTCTGGAGCAAATATATGATAACAATACGAAGCAAAAGATATCTAAAAAAAAAGATATTTAGAAAAATATAACGAGATAATTGAACAAAATATTGAGGTATAATAAAATCATAAAGCCATAAATTTAATATATTGCATATTAAATCTATTATATGAGATAATATTTCATTATGTAATAATTCTAAAAATATAAAAAATACTAGGTAAATATAACAATTATTAGACATATAAAAACAAATTAATATAATAACTTACTGACTCTCGAAAGCTAACAATCACTTAACTATAAAAAGACTAATAAGAGTGCTGCGTAACGATGCGTATTTTATTTTTTTGGAATAATTTTTTATATTACACATAATTACATTAATTACATTAATTTTAGTTTACATTAATTCTTTATCTTGTACGTTTCGGCTCAATTTTTGAGCCATAAAATTAAGCCGAAATGTACAAGGTAAAGAAGTATAATATAAAAAATTCTTTCAAAAAAATAAAATACACATTGTTACTAGCGGTCTTGACTCTTATTAACTTTTTTACAGTTAAGCGATTATTAGACATATATAATAAAGAAATAAATATATAATAATTAAGTATATAATAATTCAAAATGTAAATATGAAGTAAATAAATATACAATATACATAAAATGACTACAATAATTTTTAAATGTCCTTGTCTTTTTTTTCACATATCTATAACTTAACTATATTTACAATCAAAAAAATTTTGCAATTATAAAATTACTGTAAAATTGTTGATAAGTTTAAAATCTACCTTACATCTTTTTTATTTATCTTTTCTTCTCTGCTATATTTGTCTATATATATTTATTTTTACAGAGGTATCTTTAATTTTCCTTTTAATTTGCCTTTCAAAATTTATTATATTTTTTTGCTTTAAATATTTAGTTAAATTTTTTAATTTTTGAATTAGTAAAATGTAGCCTTACAAAATAATAAATATTACAGACATAGTTAACCTACTAATCGGAGTTACATTATATTCTCGCTCGATTAAACTATTTTCCAAATTTTACGCCATTTTCATCTCGTTCCGCTTCATTGTGCAATGTAATATGTACCGTATTAATAAATCAAATAAATCGTCGGTCATGCATTAATAACGACAAATAATGGAAACGACCGCAATTTTATTCCAACTAAATTTAACACACACGAATACAGAGAGAAAACGATTTGTTGGCTTAAATTTATTAAAAACGTCCATGAGAATTCGACATAGCGAAAAATTAATATTGACACCGAATCGATAATTTTAGTATTTATATATTCTTGTTAAACAAGCATCCAGTGTCGATTATCATTGAATGACGTTAGCTGTGTACAATGGACTGGCAATTTATGAAGAAAATATTACGAAGGAAAATCTGAATATTTAAACAAATTGAATTATCGTGAGGGGAGGCAATAAAATAGGAATGGAGGGAAAAGCAATAATTACGTAAACCTGAAGCAATAGTTATGTAAAGATGAAGTATACTCACTAGTCGCGATGTGGGCAAACTGCTGCTCTCTCTACAACCCGATTTTGTATCCTGTTCCTCTCCCCTCTCTCGTCTCTTTTGTTCCTTGCCATTTTATTGCTTCCGATATTCAATTGCTCATTCGCGTGGATGCGATAAAACACTAATTACACTTGCTATCGTCTGTCAGTTTGCACGGCACTCCCGACGCGACATTCGCGTTAGAAGACATTTGAAACTCCACTCCAACGAGAAATTCGGATTACTTTGGCGCCAACTTCGCATCGATACGCGAATCATTCGAATGGCTCGTCTGTGAGGAAACGTGAACTTGAGAGTCGATGAGAGCGGCTAATTACTCTCTGGGAGTTTAATTAGCAAGTCGTGTATGTTTGCTAGTCGCATATATACGTGCACGATTCGCATGAAATGAATGAAGCAATGCATCTTGATTATGGGTATAAGAATAATACCATGGGCACCCAAGATTTTTTTTCGGGGAGGGCGGTTATCAATTAAATTAATGTTAATATATAAACTTAGAGCTTGGAATATCTCCTCGTGCCTGATTTTGAATGAAAAAAATAGTAGATTTTGTAAATCATAACTTTAACTTTTTTTTAAATTTCGGAGGAAGAATTGAACATTCCATCCCCCCCTCCCCCTCCGTGGGTAATGAATAACAGGAAGGAGAATAAAGTATTTTTTTAAATACAAAGAATGAAATATCTGATGTGAAAGAAAAAAATATTGCGATCCATCTGCGATCTGCGATGTCTATCTTTTTTATCTATTTTTATTTATTTTTATCTATTTTTCTGCCCGACGTTAACCATTTGCAACGATTTCTTCCTTCTCTCATTATTGTTTGATGTATTTTGACGTATATTTAAAAAATATATTGTTTACATAAATAACATGTTTTTGTAATTGATACACAACGGATAAAATAATACACTATGGATTTGTTTACCTAAACTACATCGGATTAATATGCATTAAAAACTGTTACATATAAAATATAAATACAATAGCATAATATAAAATATAAATACGATAGCATAATATAATCTTTTTGATGTTGATAAAATCATTAATATATATTTTACAAAATAGTATGACAAAATCTTCTTTCAAGTGAGAAAAATTTTTTTCAATAAATCGCATTCTGTAAAATTATTCATCACTGTCATCTTGGTTCCTGTTATCCGTTATAGTAGATATTTTGTTCCGCTCACCCTTAATGCTTCACCCGCAGTATATTACGCTTCTTCCTATTCTTACATCCACGTAAATATGCCTTGATAAAGACGAAAACATCTTGATGAATGCTGTATATCGGATATATGTACCGCGATGCATTGTCATCGATCTTTCACGGCGATCATTAATGCTTGGGCGTATCGGCGATGGAGGGTTGGATTGTCCAACTCCTCTAAATTAAAAGAAAGTTAAAGTTAAAGCTACGATTTACGAAATCTAATATTTTTCTCATTTAAAATCAAGAACGAGAAAATATTTTAAACTCTGAAATATTCAAAAAAACAATTCATTAACGCAAAAAATTTTTGTATGTTAACAGAATTGATAAATCCTCCCCCCCCAAAAAAAATATTGGATACGTCTATGTAACGCTTCATGATGACGAACCATCATTTGTCGCGACACTTTCGATACTCGATCATACGCTGAAACTTGCTTATGATGAAAAAAATGAAAACGGAAATACGGAAATGCGAAAGAGGCTACAGCCGATTAAGCTACGTATTAAGAAGAAAATGGACGCGTTTTAAGCTTGAAGTTTGATATTTAAATTGCATTGTGCAATAAATACAATAAAATAATAAAAAATAATATTAAGATGATAATAAAATATAATAA